TTTTATTGTGTGTTTTTTTTCATGTTGTTGAAACCATGAATGCCACAAATTCTGGTGGTACAAAATAATTACAGTGTGGTATGTAATTTTTCCTCTGACACAACAATGCAATAATGCTGAAGTTTAAATTGCATAATGTTAGATTGAGTACTTAATATGAAATAACATCTGTTGTTACAACCTGGGTTGACACTTGTGTCAAACTGGAGTCAGGTTAAAACAGTTATTATCATGGGGTTCATTCTCTTTCCCCTTTTTGTTTACTCGGGTTGAGTAAGAAGATTCTCTGAAATTTTCCCTGTCTTGTACAGTAAAGGGATTAACTTTTGGCAGGGCACTAGAGTGGATTTGATCAATTCAAATAGGAGATTATTATAACTTTTGATTATTTGGGATCCCTAATATCTTTAAGGAGCATCCCATTGAACATCAGGTAGGTGGACTGGCATCTCTGTTATCTCTGGTTTATAGCTCAGAACACGGAGACCCTTAGAGAGCCAGGTTTAGTGTAGGCCTAACAGTATAAAGCTGCCTTTCTTTTTCATTTGATTTAAGGAACAGGAATTACTGGAACCCTTTTGATGTGAGGTAGGTGATAAGGAAAAAGGAGGTCCAGTGTGACACATTAAGCACAACAGGATAAAGGGACCCTGCTGTCACCATGAGTCCCTTCACAGCAATCAAATACTCAATGGAAAGCAATGGAAATTTTGTTTTGCGAAAACAAACAACACATAATCCTCCCAAATAGCATAATTTTTAAAAGGTGATTGCAAACAGTTGTACATATATTCTTGTTATTTAGCATTTGTTAAAAGACAGGAGAACTGTGTGCTTTACCTTTAGCAAGGATCTCTGTTGCTCAGTTGTTTTCAATCATGTCCAACTCTTTATGAGCCCATTTGGGGTTTTCTTGGTCAAGATAGTGGAGTGGTTTGACATTTCCATCTCTGTATGTGAGGTAACAATGGTGGATTTAATTCAGGTTATGTTGCTATTCATTGTTGTTTTCATTTGCACAGCTGTAGTCAGTGTCTACATAGTTGTTTTGATTGGACTTTCTCCTTTTGTAATTTTTTGACAATGCAAGATAATGGGATATAGGCATAGCAATATGGTAGAGTGGAGTCGGAGGACTGGATTCAGGTACTTCCTCTGCCACTTCCTACCTGTATGACCTTACACAAGTCACTTCTAACTGGACCTCTGTTTCCTCATTTGTAAGATAAGGGGGTTGAACTAAATGAGCTCCTTTCTAACTCTAAATTTGGAATTCTATGATTCTGTAACTCCCTCCACCAACCGTATCTAGCTGTAAAAACTTAGCCAAGTCATTTGATCTCTTTAAATTCAGTTTTCTCATCTGTTAAGTAGTAATAACAATACGTATACCTACTCTCAAAGGGTTATTGAAATTAGATAGTAAATATAAAACACTTTACAAATCTTAAAACAGCTATATCAGTGTCAGTTATTATTATCATTTTCTTCAAATTCATTCTTTGGGGATTTCCAGTGCCAAGATGGTGCAGTGAAGAAGGAACCCTCAAAAGCCCCCTCCCCCAAATTCCCCTCCAAACAACTAGAAAACTGCCTCAGAATTGATCTAGAAGTAAGGAAGCAGCCTACCAGAAAAAGTCTGTCTCATTCAAGTGGAAGAGGAGCTAGGTCCAAGAGTAGCAGCAACAGCAGCAGCCAGTCTCACAACAGAGAGCCTGCAGCAAGGCTCCAAGCCTGGGGCAATCCACCAGCAAGCCAAAACAGAGAAAGAAAATTATAGACCAATTTCCCCCAATGAATATTGATGCAGAAATTTTAAATAAAATACTAGCTAAGAGATTACAGCAATACTGTGACCAGGTGAGATTTATACCAGGAATGCACGGCTGGTTCAATGTTAGGATAACTATCAGCATAATTGACCATATCAGCAACAAAACCAACAGAAATCACATGATAATCTCAATAGATGCAAAAAAAGTCTTCGACAAAATAAATACAGCGCCCATTCCTATTGAAAATATTAGAGCGCATAGAAATAAACGGAGCTTACCTTAAAATGATAAGTAATATTTGTCTAAAACCAACAGTAAGCATTATCTATAATGAGGAATAAGCTAGAATCCTTCCCAATACAATCAGGGATGAAGGAAGGATGCTTATTATCACCTCTATTATTTAATATTGTACTAGAAATGTTAGCTATAGCAATGAGAAGAAAAAGAAATTAAAGGAGTTAGAATAGGCAATGAAGAAACAAAACTATCACTCTTTGCAGATGATATGATGCTATACTTAGAAAATCCTGGAAAATTAACTAAAAACCTACTTGAAATTATTACCAACTTTAGCAAAGTTATAAGATACAAAATAAACCCACATAAATAATCAGCATTTCTATATTTTACCAACGAAATCCAGCAGCAAGAGATAGAAAGAGAAATTCCATTTAAAATAACTGTATACAATGTAAAATACTTGGGAGTCTACCTGTCAAGATAAACCCAGGGATAATATGAACACAACTATAAAACACTTTTCACATGAATAAAGTTAGATCCAAACAATCGGAAAAATATTAATTGCTCGTGGGTAGGCCAAGGCAATATAATAAAAATGACAATTCTACTTAAATTAATCTATTTATTCAGATTTATAGAATTTATAATTTATAATATGATGTGATTTGATATAATCTAAAATTTATAATTCTATTTATTTATCTATTTGATTACTAATCAAGCAATTAAAAACTATTTTATAGAGCTAGGAAAAATAATAATAAAATTCATCTGGAAGAACAGAAGCTCAAAGATATCAAGGGAATCAATGGAAAAAAATGTGAAAGAAGGTAGTCTAGCTGTACCAGATCTCAAACTGTATTATAAAGTGATAATTATCAAAACAATCGGGTACGGGCTAAGAAATAGAGTGGTGGATCAGCGCAATAGATTAGGTACAAATTACATTGTAGTAAATGACTCTAATAATCTAGGACATGATTAAACCCAAAGATTCAAGCTTTTGGGACAAGAACTCACTATTTGACAAAAACTGCTGGGAAAACTGGAAAACAGTATGGCAGAAACTAGGTATAGATCAGCATATCACACCACATACCAAGATAAGGTCAAAATGGGTACATGGTTTACACATAAAGGGTGATACTGTAAGCAAATTAAGAGAGCATAGAATAGTTTATCCATCAGATTTATGGATAAGGGAAGAATTTAGGATTTTTATTTGCAACAAGTATCTTTGATAATGGCCTCATTTCTCAAATATATAGAGAACTGAGGCAAATTTATGAAAATACAAGTCATTCCCCAATTGATAAATGATCAAAGGATATGAACAGGAAGTTTTCAGACAAAGAAATCAAAGCTATAGGCATAAGGAAAAATCCTCTAAATCACTATTGATCAGAGAAATGCAAATTAAAATAATTCTGAGGTACCAGCTCATACCTCACAGAGTGACTAATTTGACAAAAAGAGAAAATGTTGGATGTTGGGAAATGGGAATATATGGGAAATATGGGAATATGGGAAAACTAGAACACTAATGTACTGTTAGTGGAGTTATGAATTGATCCAACCATTCTGGAAAGCAATTTGAAACTATACCCAAAGGGCCATAAAACTGTGCATATCCTTTGACAGAGAAATACCATTTCTAGTTCTATATCCCAAAGAGATCCTAAAAATGGGAAAAGGACCCACAGGTACAAAAATATTTTAGCAACTCTTTTTGTGGTGGCAAAGAATTGGAAATCAAAGGGATGCCCATCAGTTGGGGAATGGCTAAACAAGCTGTGATATATGATTGTAATGAAATACTATTGTGCTATAAGAAATGACAAGCAAGAAAATCTGGAAAGACTTACGTGAACTGATGCCTAGTGAAGTAAACAGAAACAGAAGGTGGCAAAATGAGGAGATAATGGAGAAACAGTTAAATATTACCTAGGTTAATACCACGCCCATGCTTATTAGTGGTGCTTCATAACCCTCAGTCTTAAATCATGCCTATTGTTTTGTTGTGGAATCATCTTATCTCTTTGCTGAGAGTCTTCACCATACTTTATTTGTATAAACACTTTAGCAGTAGTGTTTTCCAAAGTCTTCTGCTTTATGTTGGCCCATCCTCAGTCCAGGGACCAGAGTTTCAAAAGAGGCTTTGATGCCCAATCCTTTCAAAGGGCACTTAAGTCTTATTCTACGCAATTGAGGGAAAAATTTTTTGAGTTCCTACTGGTATTTCTTAGCCTTCAAATAATATCTATCCAATAAGATATTTAATTTATTTGGCTTGTAAGAGACGAATGTAGTTCTATTTGTATTTTTTTCTTAGTACCTGATGAGTGCTTCTTAATATAAGTGAAAGATTTGGCCATGCTAGCAATTCTCCTGCAGGGCAGGGATACAATTTGACACAATTGGTATCCTGTCTAGTACTTGGCACCTGAATCTCTATAAGCATTTCTTGGTTAGTTGATATGAATGGGCAAAAGAGTGGGAGTTCCCAAAGTGAAGGATGCAAAAATTGGAAAGCTAATGATTTGGCCATTATGCTTCTGTTCTTGATTCTCAGTGAGATACAGAGGCCCAGACCAATGGTCCGTGACCCCCAGAAATGCTTTGACTATGAATCTGCATCTCATTAGTTATGCAGATGCTACTAAAGAAATGTTTTATGAGATGAGTATTCTTGTGCCTCGATTTCTCACTCCGTGTGATAGAGTGGAGTTAATACGTGATGGAGTTCTTTGAAGAGAGCAAGGACATGGTAGTTCCATTCTTGGAAGCAGGTACTGGCTGGTTTTTCTATTTATATCACCAATACTTATCACAGTGCCTTGCATACACTAAGTACTTGACAAATGTTTTTTTACTCATTGGTTGATATTTTTGAAAAAGAAACAGTACTGTTGCAATGGGTTGAAATTCTCAAACTAATTATTCATCTTTTCTGTTTTCTCCAATACCAATTGTTTCCAGCTGCCCACCCTTCTGCTCAGTCTCAAGACCGTCCCACTGCGACAGTATCACCTCTACGTACCCAAAGCTCTCCATCCCGCCTGCCAGCTACGGGGATCAGGCCACACACCATCGTATCTCCACAGCACCTCCACCAATCCTCAATTCAGGTCGTCTCTGGAGCACAGTGCCCCAGGCCTGTCATCCCTTTGACATCAGCAGCCTCGGCCATCACACCTCCCAATGTCAGTGCAGCCAACCTGAATGGAGACATGGGCAGTGGGCCCATCGGTAGCTTGATGACTTCCAGCCCAACCAACACAGCCTGCAAAACAGAGGAGAAAAAGAATGAAAAGGTAATCAGTCCTCTGGGCAAGCCCTGTGTGTCTAATGACACTCCTATCTAGGTAGCATTAAGAACCAATGCTGCATTAGATGTACAGTAGAGAATGTGGTCTCCTGGCTTCTTTTTGCTCTCAGCTGGGATTCAGATACATCTCAGAAACAGAGAGACCAAAACCAAGAAACCTAGTTGATGTCTGGGATAAAGTGAGCAGATTTTTCCAGGTGCTAATAAGAGGAATCTGGAGGGAACAGCCAATCCTAATTTAGCTATTTTCCTGAGAAGAAAATTTGGCCTATTTAACAGATAGAAAACCTGAGGCAGGACCAGCAAGGTGGTACAGTGGATAGAGCACCGGCCCTGAAGTCAGGAGGACCTGAGTTCAAATCCGGCCTCAGATCAAATACTTGACACTTACTAGCTGTGTGACCCTTGGCAAGTAACCCCAATTGTCAAAAAAAAATTAAAAATTGAAAACCTGAGGCAGAGTGACTTACAAGAGGTAGTCATTGGCAGAGCTAAGATGAGAATCTAAGTTTTTGGACCCACAGTGTAGAGCCGGCTTGTCTATCTGCCTAACCGTACAAGTAGCTCTTGGGATTTTTTTTTTAATAAAAATGAACATCTTCCAACTAATATCCTTTAAAGATATAGAGCTCCAACTAGAACTAAAAAGACAACCTCAAAACAAGCTAGGCAGATTCTTATGTGAAAGCATACCACTCCCAGTGTTTCTAGGGAGCAGAATACCTCTTCTGCCTCCCCTATACCTTTGAAAAACTCTGGGAAGTTGCTTAACCTCAATGGGCCTCAGTTTCCTCCCTTGTAATATGAAAGGGTTCAGTGACCTCTAAGGTCTAAAGTCTAAAGCTATGATCTTATGATTCCAGAGCCTAGCTCAGTGCTTTTCACACAATTGGTACTTAATGTTTGTTGGATGTAATTAAAATAATAGTTCAGGATGAATTTAAATTAATTCAGGGTTTGGACATCCATGAATGTAGTTGGTGTTCAGAGCAGTGCTCTAAACTCTGTATATTCCAACAAAAAAAAAAAAGCCTTTGATGTTACTATCAAAGAGAAGAATGAATCTGGTCCACTGTGGCAATTTTATGTTCTTGTAGACTCTGTTTTACATTGGCATATCAAAAATCTGATTCTTTTAATTTATCTTTATCTTCTGAAAAGCAAGCTGTTTTCAAAAAAGAGAAGGCTTGTAGCTAAGAAAGGGGGCTAGAGGGAGAAATATTTCATTTCTCTTGATGACACCAGGGTGCCGCTCATGTCACTCAGATCTAACAGCTCTAAATCCCCTGGAGAATACATTTACATTCTTCTACTTTTCCACTAGATGTTTAAAAACTATACCTATAACAGAGCAAGGGATAAGTGAATAAGTAAAGGGGTGGCACACAGATGGAAAGTTTGAAATGATAGTGAATTGATACAGATGGTTTAGTCCAAAAATACTAATTTTGCCCCATATTATCTAGATAATTTGGGAGAAAAGAGCATGTTTGGACCTGAATTATTTTGAAGACAGTGGATTTGTATGCTTGGACTCTGGAATCTTTGGTTTTTTTCCCAGTTGAATCAAAGGCGTATTTTTTTTAATTATGATAATGTTGATTGATCATAACCCGCAAGCTTCTGTTGGGGACTAGATAGGGGAAATATGTCTAATAATAACTGTCAATTTGAGCTTGGGCAATATAACAAGTTATAACAGAGATTGTATAAAGAGATGTGAAAATTCTTTCTACCAAGTTTATAGAGACATCTCAACATTCCTTCACAGCAATACACTATGGGTGGCATGCTTTCTTCATATGTCCACCTATCGAAAGCCTACCTATCTTTCAAAGCCATTTCCTTTGCTCTCTCCTTCATGAACCATTACTTGGTTCTTCCTTATCTATACTCATAGCACTTTCTACCATGAACATACCTGCTTTGAGTCTATATTTCAGACCTAGGATCTTATATTTGGAGAAAGCTCAAAAATAGATTTTATCTCTCATACCATGACCCAGTGGCCTTTTAAAAGCAGTCCAAGAGCCTTAGCTTACTTGTTTATCTTTTTTAATGTACCAAGAGCTGTTTTTATTCCCTCCCACCTCCCCAGCCCTGTTCTCCACTGGGGGAAAAAAGACAAAGACAAAAACCCTTATAACTAATATGGATAGTCAAGCAAAATAAATTTCAATCTTTGCCAAGTCCGAAAAATATAAGTTTCAATCTGTACCCTGAGTCTCTTACCTTTCAGGAGGTAGGTAGCATGTTTCATCATTGTTCTGGAATCATGACTGGTCATTGCTTTGATTAGAGTTCTTAAGTCTTTCAAAGTTGTTTGCTTTTAAAATGTTGTTATTGCATAAATTATTCTCCTCCTTCTACTCTCTTCACTATGCATCAGTTCATATATGTCTTCTCATTGTCTCTGAAACCATGCCCTTCAAAATTTTTGACAACACAGTTGTATTCCGTTACATTCATATGGCATAACTTGTTCATCCATTCTCTGGTTGAGGGACTTACCCTTAGTTTCCGATTCTTTGCCATTCCCTTCATCATTTTTATACCACAGTCATATTCCATTTCATTCTCATACCATAGTTATTCAGTCCATCCCCAATTGATGGGCATCCCCTCAGTTTCTCACAGTGGCAAAGCTGGTTTAAAGATTTTTGTACATTTTTGTACCTTTGCCTAGAGCCTTTATTCACCTTGGGTACATCACTTAGTCTCTCTAGGACTCAGTTTCATCATCTATCAAATGAGGAGGTTGGATTAAATAAACTCTAAGGTTCCTTCCAGCTCTAAAGCTATGACTCTGATCATCTGTAAAATAAGAAGGTTGCATTAGATTTATCTAATCCAGTCAGAGTCTAAGAGACTCTGAGGTCTCTTAGAACTTTATGATACTTCTTCACTTAATGCATTTTTACTTCCTAGGCATAAGATCATAGCTCTATAGTTGGAAGAGATCTCAGAGGTCAACTAAACCAACCCCCATCATTTTACAAATGAGGGAGCTATTGCCAGTCATCTTGACCTATGTCTTGCCACTGTACTCCGATGACTGGAGGAGAGAGTGAGGCTGATGATTTTGCACTGCACTGCCTCACTTAAGTTCAATTCATTTACAAGTTAAGACATCACCCTCCTGATATCATTCTATTGACCACCTTCAGTTTCACATACCACTTGCGCTGTTTGCATATGATAAAACAATCAAATCCATTTAATATTCTTCATTAATGTCTGTGGAGGAGGAATGCTGGAGCCTTGGTTTTTGCCACTGCTATGTTATCCCTCCCCTGAGAAGCTAAAGCCTAGGGCCGTGGATCCAAACTAGGATGATAACTTGGGCACTGTAAGGCCCAAGCAGCCCACAGGTGCTCAATTTAATAGTTACTGCCCAATTTTTTGTCTCCATCTATTCATCTGTAGCTTGGCTGATTTGCAGTTGAAAAATCAGTTTAGCTTTTAATCCATTCATTTCTATCTAAAAGGAGTTTGCATGAGATATGACCAAACCTTGCAAATCAGCAACAATTGTGGATAGATGTTAGAGCACACTCTTAGTTTCCTACTTGACCATCTGGCCCTGAAGCCTATTTGCCTCATTAGATAGAAGATGGTATATCTCAGTGGCCTTTAGGGCTGGTGAGGAACATAATAAACCAGACTTGTAAGTGGCGGGTGGTGTTTAACAGTTCTGTAAACATTTCCATTTCTTTCAGAAAATTGCATTGCCATGGTTCAGTGAAACAGAGAAGGCTGGCTTAAATATGACTCATTTCTGTCTGTGATTGATACATTGTAGATTCAAGCTCTCAGGAATCAACATTGGAAGTGATATTTCAATGTCTGCCCTCGTAAGTGTGTTACTAATGAAAACCAGGGCTAGGGCTGCTTTCAGCATTCTCAGCCTGTTAGACACTTAACAAATATTTTGCTTTCACCCAGGGTTTACACTCTGCTAACAGTTCTCATACATCAACAGTGAGAGTTTAGTCCAATAGACGCCATAGCCCCGTGCCTTTTGATTAAATTTGTCTTGGAAGGAAATCACTACCCACATTTGAAAAACAAGAGATTTGACAACTTCACATCCTCCACCCCTGGCAGAATATGCTGCATTTGCAAGTTCCCCTGGATGTCCCTTAGTGACTGATGTGCCTGGGACAAAAACTGGCCCAATACCCACCCAAGCTGTGGTTTAGGAACGTGCTGTGTACGCACAGAATGAGAAGCTTATTCTTTCCTCCTTCACGGTCAATTAAAATTATTATGAAATTATGGGAGCATTCAGATGCCACAGAAATAGACATTGTCTAAACACCCAAGAGAATATGATGGAAGATCCTTCTCCATTTACTGTGAGCAATGTATGCAATTCATTCTTGTAGCTAAAACAATAACTTTTAGGAGCAGCTAGGTGGCGCAGTAGATAGAGCTCCAGCCTTGAGTCAGGAGGACCTGAGTTCGAATATGGCCTCAGTCACTTGAAACTTACTAGCTGTGTGACCCTGGGCAAGTCACTTAACTCCGATTGCCTCACCAAAAAGCAATAATAATAATAATAATAATAATAATAAATAAAAATAAAGTAAAACAATAACTTTTAGTCTTAAGGACAAGCACTCTAGTCTTTCATTGATAGTTTTTCTCTTCTGTGTTTCTCAGTCTGATCAATTGGTTTCTCTTAATTTGTAAAAAGGTACAAAACAATTCTACCTGTTTCTGGTAGCTTAAGTGTAGCAACCAATTGGTACTTTTTGTATGACTAAATGTATATCCAGCTCCCTACACATAAACACCAGAAGCTTATCAGTATTGTTATTGTTAGCATAAATATTGTCAGTATGTGAGCTAGGTTGTAGAAGATCTTTATCTTCTTCAGTACAGTTGAAAGGACTTTACTGACAACTGGGAGGAAGTGGGGGAAAAAACACTACCTCTCACAGTGGTACAGTGGAAAGACAACAAAATTTGGAATCATAAGAC